GCCGGCTAAAAGCTCAAAAGCCAACGCGTTGGAATAGGTTACACAATATTGCAGGTTGCAGCCCGTACCCGTGGCATTGAATTCCTCAGTAAAAAGCAGTCCGTGCCCCGCCATGCACGTTGATCGCGTCCAGCAGGCGAGTTTCAGAACCCTATGGACCCTGTAGACTACACCGACCATAAGATATCTGCATCAGCTAAGAACACGGCACCAGGAACTTTCAAATTCGCCATCGCTGCCACATGTAGTTTCAACCAGATGAGCCTTGAAGTCCGTCTACTAGTAGAGCATAACAACGCTACCAGGTCTTTCTTCATGACGTGCTGACCGACAAAATAAATACCCAGCGATCTGCATCTCCGTGTCCTGGATATCCGACGGCAGCCAGGTCCCAGTGATAGCTCCAAGATCCGGGTGATTCACGGAGGCAATAAACTAAACTGCGTCCAGTTTGTTTGTGAGAGAAGCATGTTAGAAGAAATAACGCGCAGTTCGTGCCTCAACTCTAATGATTGGTCCTGACAATGGGTGGTCTCCAGCGAGCCCTAGGCCTTTTCGAGTTTCGCGAAAATCCACTATTTATAGGCAGGTCTCATTGTTAGCAAGACAGGATCTGAGTTCATCAGCTCCTTGCTTGATTTTTACTTAATCCTCCGGGGAGAGGTCTTGCAGTACGAAAACTATTTATAGTTACGACGCACTGCTCGTTGGGGAATGCGTTGTATTTAATCATTGCTTGACCTACAAGCTTCGAGGGACAGAACTTACAGAAGTCCGCCAGCTTCCTGGCAAGCGGAAAGCGGACAGTGTGAATTCCTGGCTAACCTTCGGCGCGCAGTTAACAGAGCATATGTTTTAGAAGCGCTTGATAATCCGTGGGCCCTTCATTGAAGTTGGTTTTAGACGAGGTAGGAGCAGTTCCGATCGTTAGGCATGGAAACCGAAAGGGCGGTTTGTTGTTATCATAAGCTGCGGCTGGTGGTGAGGCGGACCCAACTTAAGCCGTTATTCCGCTGACAGAGCTTGTACAAAACGAGCTTCAACCACCATGGAGAAGGTTACATTTTGGGTTTGCTTACACACCTGTCTCGTCACCAGCCGAACAGCATATACAAGCTTTGACACCATGCCCTGCAAGTAGTCACCCAGGAGCACGACCTTGGAGTATTAGTTCAGGTTGCTCTGGGCTGCTCAGAACGATCTGAGAAGGTGTCAAAGACCCGGAACCAACGCGTAGGTATGCTGCGGTGGACACTGGGGCGGTTTGACCCCACTGTATATTTGCGGTTGCCCCATGTGGAGTACGCAATCAAAATGGGGCATCCATGGCACAAGCAACACCTTGCAGCCCTCGAGACTCCACAGCGACGGGTCGCGAAGCACATCAAAGAATTGTTCAATCTTCCTTATCAACTTAGACTGAGGACCCTAAAATTATACAATGGCCGGTACCGTCGTCTACGTGGCAAACCTATTATGGCCTACCAAATTCGAAGGAACTCCAACCACATCTGCCGTCTCCTACTACAACTGAGCCACAACACGAATTTGAGGGGCAACCAGTTCAAGTTAGCCAGGCAATACAGTCGGCTAGAATGTCGACGGAACTTTTACTCTCTTCGTGTGTGTCAGCCTTGGAACGCCCTCCCAACTTGCGTTGTTTCCAACCCTACATTATCAGTGTTTAAAAAACGCCTTAATGTTTCCCTAACCCACAAGCACTGCGAGATATAGCCTTTATGTCTCAACAGACGATAGAATGCGACGAACGTGGCACAACCAGAATCAACCTACACAACTGTGGGTAGCTTTCTCTGCGCGCCTCTGTTTTAACGTTGTTGCAGTTCCACCAAAACTATTTTTATTTTATCCCTTGATTTTCTATTCACCATGTTGTGGTTCTCTTTTTGACCATTCTACGGGACTTGCTAAGCATCCGCTTTTTTGCCCGTAATATACCATTGTTCCGTTGTACCATTGTACTTTCAGCCACTCGTGCTGGAGAGGCCAGTGATGCACATTCCATCGCTAAAGATGCAAACGTCTGGATACTTGAGGCTTCACAGTGGACAACCCCCGTCGGTGTTCATTACCATGGGGTCAGCCTGGCCAGAAGTAGAAGACGAGATCATACGAATGTCAAGAAGGCAGTAGCGATGTTTGCCTCAGGGGGAGCAGAAGAGAAACGAGGTCTGTGTGCAGGTGGTCTATCAAGCGGTGCAGTATCGGTATTTACCACCTTCGCTGCAGTTCGACTGGACAGGAGAAACTTCTCGACATGTGAGAGTGGAGCATCGATCTTATTTTGCGTAAACTGCAGGCATGATGGACATAGTCTAATTGGAGATAAGCCATTTGAAAAGCGCCTGCCAATGAACCCGGCCCCATATTAGCCGCAAATAAAAACGATGACTGAGAAAGGGCTCCGCAAAATTTGACCACACAGATCTGGGCCGATGTTACAACTTGCAATTTGTAGCCATCATTGGTATTAGGAAAATTGAGTATCCTTCGACCGAGAAGTGACAGCTTTATAAGAATCCAAGCTTTTGGGGGGACATTGTTTCCTTTATCCAGTAATTACAATAAACCTTCAGAACGGTAACGAAACACATGATACAAACGACGTAATATCCCACTGCGTTACCACTGTAGCTCTCTAGTCGTTTCCCTGTACGCTGCGCATTTGTACCCAAGGAAATTAAGCAGTGTGTCTGTCGCTTGCTGCCCACTCTTGTTTATATACACACACTTCAGGAATGCCGATGCCGGAGTTAATCTCAAAAGCTGCTTATACCTCGCCCTAGCTTTTACCCGTCTTTGCACTTTCCATCTGCTGGCTTGTTGTGCACATCTAGCATCGGTCCATCAATTTCTCTGTGCCGACTTCAGTCCCCACAAAACAAGTTCCTGGTCATTTTCTTATTAGCGTGTGCATCAAATCTATACGTATGCAACAGCAGGAATACTAATATAGGAGTTGGGACATTCCTACGATCGAGCGTGATACAAGTTGCAAAAACCGCACAAGCAGACACCCTGTTTCGCCGAAACTTCACCCATACTTTCGGGAGTGAATCATCATTACATCCGCTTTTTACACAGCTTCCATCGCCACCAGGTTTAAGCTACGTATCGTGCAAGGCAGCGAATGTGAAGCAAGCGCTAATGTCGTTGAGCGTGCACAGCTCACTTGGCGTGGACGACATGAAATAGACAGCCCTGAAGACAACGGCATGACCCTTGCAAAACAATTAGCTCGGTTCTTACAGCGTTGTCTCAACGAAATGCAGGTTGCGACTATGTGGAAACATGGAGTAGTCACCCCTATCTACAAAAATAGTAATCGTGCGGAGCCCTCGAACTACCGTCCAATCACTCTTCCACCAGTTCTATCCAAAGTAATGGAGTTTATAATTACGGAGCGCTCATGGGATATCTTGAGAGCAGCAACACCCTAATGGCACAGCCACACGGATTACGCCGAAATCGATCTTACATTACAAACTTGCTGCTAGCCAGTGCAAGCTGCACAAGTCAGCCGATGTCATAGTGGGAGTCGACGCCGTCTACCTAAACGTCTCCGTAGCGTCCGACCGTTTGGACCGCCGCGTTCTCCTTCATAAGCCACGAAGCTATGGAATCGGTGACCCTATCCTCGTTTGGATCGGCGACTTCCTCACTCAACGTCAGCTGAATGTGAGAGTTCGGAGCTCCGTTGCCAACTCAATTGACGTCCAGTGTGGCGTGTCTCAAGGATCAGTACTAGAGCCACGTTTATTCCTCACAGTCAATAAAGGACTTTCCAGTGTATTGCAGTCGAATTTCTTACTATTTGCAAATGATATCGAATTTTGGCATGACATTAGAACAGCGGATGATCACATGGCTTTGAAGAGCGATCTCGACCGGGATTATGCGTGACATCCAACAACTGGTTCCAGTTCAACGTGAACAAATGCAAAATCGTAAGCATACGCCATCAGCTTATCTATGAATATCGACTTGGGCAGCAGCAGGTGTAACGTGCTTCCCAAGCAAACGACCACGGGGTGATCGTGGAGCACGAAATTGGTTGCTCGAGACGGGCTGAAAAAGCATGAAACAAAGCCAGTCAAAATTTTGGACACTTACAGAGGGCGTTCGGCAATTCTGGGCGAGCAGTCTTTCTGCTAATGCTGAACGCCTACATGAGGCCTCACGTGGATTATAAGACCCAGGTCTGGAGTCCCTGGCGCAAGCGCGATTCGATGCACCAGAAGTTCCAAGACGTAGAGTGACCAAACTCGCTAGAGGATTGTTTCATCTCTCCGACCATCCCAGACTGTACACCGCAAAGTGGCGGTGAGTATACATGCAGAAGTGTCCGTGTGATTGGCCTGGATGTAGCCAAAGTGGATTAACATTCCAAATCTGTTCAAGAAAGTTACAAAAGAGTGAGCTTTAAGGTTTCCTTTTTCTCAAACACTTTCTGAAATATAACCGCTCTCTATATTATTTTGCGTGTGCACATCCCATTCCCACTTCAAACTATCGATATGCAGTAGTGCATTTAACTCTGTGGACTCTTGAAATAGCGATTTACTTATTCAATTATTCTTCAAACTTTCATTTCTCTGCTACCGTCCAACGGGCCTTGTCAAGCACATGCTTTTTTACCCGTGATAAATCATTTTACCTTGTAAATTATTAAAGTTTTAAATTTGCATTCACAATGCTTTTGATCACCTAAACAAAAACTGGTTCAGCGATTATTTTAAGAAGGAACACACACGGGAGGCTCTTATAGATCCTATCCCACCTGAAATTGAATAACGAACAAAAAAGTAAATTGTCTGACTGAGACCCTAAAGGTATTTGTAGAAGGATTACCTTATATTTTAATAAATTTACAAAACGGCATAGTAAAATTTGTATGGATAATTAACATGAGCATCCACTTGTTTCCGTTAAACTTGTATTGTTTCTTTTGTTGCTATTAGCATTATGTATTCGAATGAACTTTTCAAGGTTGCTATGACTGCATTATTTAAATCCGGTTTTTCGCCGATGCACCGGTTACGTTTCCTTCCGTGGCAAGTTTTTGTTTGCTATAAATTGAGTTTGTCGCAGCCTTTTCCATTATTTTCTAATGTCTGTCATTTAAATAAACTGTTTTTATTTACTAGTGTACTTCTGCGATCATCGTTGACTGACTGCCCTGTAAATTGTTTTCCGCTAGTAGGTTTTTGGAAGTATTGCTGGTATCCAATTCTTGTACATTTTAGCTGGCTGCTACGTTTTTTTCCTTGAGTTTATTTGGATATAAGCTTATGTAACCGATGGGAACCTGTTTTGGTTTAATAATCATGCTTGATGTGAAATAATATACATGATGTTGTTTACTGAGTGTATGTCACCGAAGGTGCCTCGACGTTCAGCTACTTGCTAAATACAAGTGCTGCGAAATTCCACTGTACTATTATCGCGTGGCACGCGTGACCGACGTGTCTAAGCTGGAGTGATTATTGCATGGAGTGTGATATTTCACACTGCATGTAGTGTCCGCGATAACCAGCCACATTTCGGATACATTTACGCGTTACCTTACTTATCTTCATCGAATTCATTTTCCTTTGTCACAAGCGCCGTCCTAGCTTAGTGTCAATCGATTTAATAATGTTCCTAATACATTACTAAAATACGAATAGGTTTAAACTGTTTAGCGTCGAGCAACATGGTTTTCGCAAGGAATTTTCGTGTCAAACGTACTTTTGGTAGCTCGTGGGACCTGGGATGAAGCCGTAGACAATAGACATACGGTGGATGTGGTGTTCATTAACTTTGCGAAGGTCTTTGACACCGCCCCGATTCTCGACTTTTACTGAAGTCGAGGTCTTATGGAATATCTGGTCGCTGTCTCTATTAAGTGTCAGCTTTTCTGGATGGACCGGAACTGTGTGGTTGTGTGGAAAGCAGTCTTTCGTTTCGACAAAGTGTCCTTAGCGGCATTCTGCAAGGCTCTGTCCCAACTCCGCTGCTGTTCTCAGTCAACGTGAATGACTTTCCGGGGAGCCTGAGGTACCACCACTCTTGTTTGCTAATGACCTAAACATCTGGAATATTGTTGATATCCCTGGAGGTCCTGTGGCTCTTCAGCGGGCTCTGGACAGACTCTGGGAATGGTCGGTCTTGTGGTTGCTGCCCATAAACCGTTAAAAGTATTCAGTGCCACGTATCGATGCGTCTGATTCCTCCACAGGTTATGTGCTCGATGGGAGTGAATTTCCTCACGTAACTCATCCGGTTGATCTAGGTGTCGTCCACTGTTCTACACTACACCCTGAAGACAACTGGAAGAAGGCGGCTAGTAAAGTGTTCCGGATGTTGTGGTTTATCCGTCGTTTTTTCAGGATCATAACCGCTTATATGTTTGTGAAACTATTCTCAGCGTTTGTACGACCCAACCTAGCATATTTCGTCTAGGCCTGTCCACCGTGCCTTGTCCGGGACAAAATGACGCTTGAAAGGGTGTTGCGTATCAGTACTAGGTTGGCCGATGGGTTATGAAGACAAACGTACCCCGAACGCCTACTTAGTTTGGGGATGCAGTCAATGCACTCTCAAAGGATTAGAGGGGACCCAATCCTAACCTACCATATTTTGACTGGGAAGGTTGGCGCTTATTTTGTCCTGGCTACTTAGTCCTGCTAAATTGTCTAGTCTCCGCGGGCATTGTAAGAACCTGGACAAACCGCGGTCCGATTGAGTTAGAGCGGAGACACGGTTATCGCGTCGAGTCATCGGGCGCTAGAACTTAGTTTCAGGAATGTTGTCAAAGAAGCTACTGTTAAGGGGTTTGAGCGTCAACTAGATGCTCTTGGGTGGCAGCATGCAACCTTTATTTTTTCCCAGCTGATTCCCATCTTCATACTTTGATGCTATTATCTGTACTTTCCTTTACCATTGGTATTATCCTCTTCTTTTAACTGATTTCGCTTACTTTTTACCGTCGATTTTTCTTCCTCTTTCACTTCACGTAACTCGCATAGCAGAGACAGCTAATGTAAGGAACGTGGGCATTAAATTGGTGGACCAGGGTGTTTTTTCGGCTGTTTTCGTTTTAGATCCATTCGTTTTAGATTCTAGCACCCCTATCAACTCCTGGATAAACGACCTTCTCAAGAAGGAACACTTACGGGATTCATCCTATCGTTCCATTCCCACCTGAACTCGGACTTGAGAGTGAGTAGATACGCGACTGTTTCTCCATCTAATTAGTTCGAGCACCTGCGCAATATTGGACTAAAATTGGTCTCACTACGACGCCCAACGATACATAATTTAGGTTTACTCGAACTAACCAACAGAGATTTACTGTTGTTTAATATTGTTCATGAAAGCTCTAGTAGCGCCCTATTGGCTTAGAACCAAAGAATCAGTCCGTTTGTGCATTTATATAGGTCAGCTACTAGCCTACAGCAGGTTTTACACAGCCATTTCACAGAGTACACCCGTCAGCTCATGATTGTGCGGTGACAACTCTACTGCAGTCCAAGCACTTAGATATCACCATCGCTCTTTTCGTCACTCATTTTTTGGTGAAACTAGCGTTAAGAGAACGGAATGCGCATGTGCCTTAGTTAAATTATTTTCTGCTTAGTGTTTTATACAAGTTATGTGATCATATTTTATTCCGATATCTTTGCTTTTCTTCCTTGTATATTTTGTTTGCTCTTTCCAAATCGCCAAGCCAGCTGGCGCAGGTGACTGTAAGGATCACAAAACAGCAGCCTCATGCTTTACATCAACAATCTCTTCTGTATTGGTCCCGAGGTATAAAACGCACGCAGCGTTTTAAATTAAGTTTCGCTGGGCAGTAGTAAGCAGCGTGCAGTATTGAGCACAATGAAACAGTAAGTAAGATAGAATAGCAATGCTTGAACCTGCGGGTAGACAGCAAGCGGTCGGGGTCAAACGTGTTCATATTTGGCATTGTCGTCAAATCTCTCTTCAGCCACTACCAGTAGACGTTTAAGATACTCGCCTGTACGATTTTTAGTGTAACTTTGCGCGATTTCTTTTATGTTTATATGCATATTGATGAGGTTACGTTGATACAGGTCACCAAGATAACATCGATAATAATAGCAGCTGCAGCAATCCAATTGTAGTGGACCAGGATTCCAATCTATAAGTGGAATTGGCAATCGCCTAGTGTAACGTCCTGGACTGGCCACCTTGCGGTTTTACCCAGCTTGGTGCAACCATGGTCTAAATTTCCCGCCGAGGATGCCGGTCGCGTGGCATACGAAGGACATAACCTGGTAACATAAGATATTATTATACGGTAAAAACCCCGGGGAGACCCCAAAAGGCTTCTCACCAAACATTAACTGGCTGATCTCAGGATAGCTTTCCCTATGTTCGCACCAGACGCGAGCAATACTCCGCAAGCGCAGGTGGACAAACATGCCAAGCGTTTAATGGCTTCGCGGTGAACTGGCCATGTCTCTGACCCATACAGTTAGAGCGGTCTTACCGCAGCGTTATACACCTTACCATTCACTGACAGACTGAGATTCCGCTGTCTCCATAGATGGGAAATCCTCTGAAAGGTCACCGGGCCTTTTTGTTACACAAAGTAACTTCCTCGATAAGGTGACTACCGGAGGTGACACAAGTACCAGAGTAAGTGAGCTGATCCACCACTTCCGGTAGCTGTTCGGTGATTTCTTGAGCCGGAGGTATGTCGACGCAGTCCTGTAACAGCACTTCGCAATTTTAAGGTGCAAAGAACATTCCGAAACTTGCAACACCACACGTCAGTCTATCCAGTAGTGTTTGCATAGCCACTGTCAGGCCCAAGAATAGCCATGTCGTCTGCATGCTCAAGGTTTGTCACTCGGTCACATGACATAACATCCATTACGGTAGAGTCTGAAAGATTCGAGTCACTCATGATTATTTTGATAGCAATCTTGAAGCGGAAATGAGATATAGGACAACCGTGAAGCACTCCATTTGTCGTGGGGAACTCAGGAGACAGTTTCCCGGAAACTCTTCTACAGCTTTGTGAGTCACGGTAGAGATACTACACAATAGAAAGAAACTTAGCCGACACGTTCTTCATGGATATGCATTGCTACACGCTTTCGCGGTCAGCAGAGCCGAAGGTAATTTCGTTCTTGTTTGGACTCATCTTGTGGAGATAACCTGAGCTGGGGTAGAACTCAGAGCCTAATAGTTCAAGGGTGATGCCCAGAACACTATGCTACTGAGATCTGCGAGCAATACTTTGCACAGCGGAAAAGAATTCAAAGTTGAATTTGAGGAACCCGCTGTTTCGTTGGGTTGCAAAACGCAACCTCTATTGAGACCTCGGTTAACTTTGTGGTAGACGTCGGTCATTCCGATCGCAAGGACCGTATCCGAAGTGGGAATGTTTCCACCTCCTTCTTCTTCTCCCAACACTAACACACCACGACCGCGGCGAGACGGTCTTAGTCAGCGTTCGGCTCACTAACCACACTCATCACGGACATTTAGTGGGCCACTTTGTCATGGTATTATTGAAGTGCAGACTGCAAGTAAGAAGATTAGAAGACAGTCGCTGCTGTGCAGTAAGAAGAGTGAGTTCCCGGCATGCGCACACTAGAGCATGGTCGGAATCCATGCACGTGCTCCAACTTGACCGACGCCCTTGGACTGGTGTACATCATCTGCCACTGATAGCGATATGGTCGTTTTGGATCCAGAACTTTGAGGGATTCGGTGATCGCCAGGTGACACGTTGTAAAAGTTTGTGCTGGAAGGCAGTGCTGCTAAGGAAAGGTTAGCGCACAGTTTCAGTAATCGATCCCGGGTGTCCGATCGGCGTGCATCGGCTCCGAAACGGCTTCCCGGGTGTTGTTCATAGTCTGAAAGACGACTCATCTGTGCATCCATGTCACCAGAAACAATCAAGGTGCCCGTATTCTTCTCTATGAGAATAAGTGATGAGAGCAGTGGACAGAAATCGTCTTCGATACCCTCTGAACTGCATTCAGTAGATGCATAAACTGAGGCGATGAAAGGCACCTTGTCTTTTGACTTG